TATTTAATTCTACAGCTCTAATCTTTAACCATTATATTCTGTCTGACGTCCATGTAGAATATATACCAGATCATTACCATAAGAGTTCAAAGTCAGCAAAGTTAAAATTTTTCTTTGGCATAAAATAAGGATATGCCCTAATTTCATCTTTTTAACAAATGGCTTAATGATATGCTATTAACAGGGCAAGATATATGCTCTTGCTAAAAACAACAGAGATGCAAATATTCTTTTAAAAACCAATATGTTGTATTACCTTAACCTAGAAATGTCTTGAGTAGACAACTGGAAGCTAGTTAATTCCTACCAGAAAGGATTACAGACCAACTATTCCTAAAACTAAGTTTAAGTTTAGTTTCTGTAACTACCAATTTCATAAAATAAAGTATCACATGTAGTTACCTCGGTGTACTTACCACAAATGACATATTGTGAAGGGGACATTAGAAAAGAGCACTGCGTAAAACTAGGAGCATTGCTCAAAGTTTCAAAGGAATCCTTGGCTTAAACTTGGATGCTTGCTCAGTCTACCATACTCTAGTATGAATCTTTATAATGTTCCTTGTGTTTCACAACAAAATACTTACCCTACCACAGATCAATCTTTATTTTTCGTATTTCTTTTGCTTCTACTTTTAAGATCAACTGTCTCTTAAAAATATGTTCTCAATCCAATTTACAAAACAAAATAGCTGCACTCTGATACTTCTTATGGAGTATAATTTTAAACTCATTACTACCTACTATTAAAAATTGAGTCAACATACATAATATTTAGAGAACTGCTCAAAAGGCATGCAGTCCATCCACTCTCCAAATATTCTAAAAACTAGCCCTTGGTCAAGTCAGCAACAGAGACCTGAGTACGGTCTGTGCTGTACTGACTACTTAAGAACTGCTTTTATACTGAATTGTATGATAACAGTCTACACTGAACACTAGCAAAAACAAGTTCCAAAAAACCATGGCTACTAATATACTGTCTAAAAAGATGTTACAGCATCCAAGAACATCTGTACTTCTGAGCAACAGGTTTGCTTTATCATACAAACTCTGTCACCTAGTGTCAATGACTAGAGAACTCAGAGCCAAGCTATGGCTATCCACAGACAAGTATCAAATTACCACTGCTGTGCTTTTCCTGAGTTCCCTTTTATACTTACCCTCACCTTTACTTTTCATTTTCCTTTTCCCTCCACTTTTAACTTCTGTTTTACTGTTTCGTGATAGTACATATGAATAAACTGTTTTAAATTTTTTAGAACAAAGCAGAGGAAAATTGAAATAAAAAGATCAAGAGAGCTTCCTGGGGCCCTTTAAGGATCTTTTGCAGGATCCAGGTCCATTTAATACTCTGGATAGAATTGTATAAATTTGATCATTAAAGGTTCAGGATGAACTACAGTTAAGTGCTTTTATCCATAAAAATTTAATTACTTAGACTTGATCTTGTTCAGGTGGCCAGGAGTACATAAATTTTTTTATTAAGACATCTATTGCTATGTGACCAAGCTGATGTTTCTTTTCTTTTCTTTTCTTTTTGAGTTGGAGTATCACTCCGTCGCCCAGGCTGGAGTGTAGTGGCATGCTCACGGCCACTCCAGAGTCAACCTGCTGGGCTCAGGCGATCCTTCTGCCTCAGCTTTCCAAGTAGCTGCAACTACAGGCACATGTTACCATGCCCAGCTAATTTTTTATTTATTGTAGAGATGAGGTCTTGCCAAGTCGCCTGGGCTGGTCTCGAATCTGTGGGCTCGAACAATCCACTCGCCTCAGCCTCCCAAAGTGCTGGGATTACAGACTGAGCCACCAAGCCCAGCCTGAGTTGATGTTTCTAACAGGTAGGTATAAGGCACATGATTAAAAGACTGTTACTAAAACTGCAACCACTCAGTACATTTTATCTGGAATGCATTTCCTTTCTGATCAAGAAACTTTTTGAAGACAAATCGGACTCGATGATTAAAAGATGAACAGCAAAAAATGGTTGTTATTTTTGTTTATAAACTACCATGGCAAGTTGCCACTTACTTAGGAAAAGGTGAGAAAAAGATTTTGGCCAATTACATGACATCTCCAGGACTCAAAAAGGGCTTACAAAAAAATAGAGATAATCTTTCCCTAGAAATACATACTAGCATATTTAACAGAGCTAGGGAGCTGATAATTATCTAAAGGTTTACTAATAGTGGCAAAGGTGCAAAAAGTATCTTTAAAAAAAAAGTTTAAAAAAATATACTAACCAGGCAGCAGTTGTTAGTACCATAAATCATTACAGAAAGAGGGACTGTCATACCTGTAGAGAGCTAATCAAAGAGTTGTCCTACTCATTGGTGTTAAAACCTTGATCGTGTTTCTGCTTCTAGAGATTCTGCAGCCCAAAATCCCAGCAAAGGAGGGAGTATAGATAACAAATATGAAGAAACTGAGTGTCCTGAAAATCAGTGGGGAAAAGGGTGCCCCAAGAGAACCTTGAATTATAGAAAGAGAAGCATAATCCCATCTGAAACTCAGGCAACTGCCTTTTCCTCCATCTTACTAAAATCCAGCATTATAATGACTCCTACTATCTTCAGAAGAAGAAACATTGAAAACACCTTGAGAAAGCAATATAAGTAGAAGAAAGAACACAAGCTTTTCCAAAATAATTAGCAGTAAAAAAAAAAAGGGTTTTAAAATAAAAAGCCTTCCAAAGAGGACAACACAAGAGTCATTGTGGATCAGAATTGCTCAACCTAGGCACTACTGACATTTGCAGTTAGATAATTCTTTGTCTATCTTGTGTGCTGTAGCATGTAGCAGCATCTCTAGCCTCTACCCCTTAGACAGCAATAGCATCCCTATCAGTTAGATGTGACAAACAAAAAATGTCTGCAGACATTGCCAAATGTCCCCAAGGGAGCAAAATCACTCCCACTGATCACCACTTCTATAGATGAAACAAATAACCATGCTAACTCACTGCCTTGGTAAATAACACTCCCAAACCACCTCACCTCCTGAACCAGGAAACAGGGAGAAGGAACAGAAGAATTTTCAGAAAAAATAACAAGTTCAATACTGGGCATGTCACAATATAGAATACCAAGTAGAGATGTCCAAATGGCAGTTGCACATATGGGACTGGAACCAAGAAAAGAGGTCTTAGCTAGAGAAACAGACCAGAAAAGCATTAGCTACATTAATACCTCTGAGAAAGGCTTTCGCAAATCTTCAGCCAAAATAAAATCCTCTTAAGAGATGATGATTATTACCCTACACAAGCTCTACCTAGTGCCTAATTAAACAAGAAGCCCTTGATGGATTTAGTCAACTGCAGGGTAATGTAGTCATGCACAATTTTTACCTTCATCTGGACGAACTTGCCATATGTTAAGGTCTTCGGGGTAAATGCTCGCATATCTTAACTAATTGATACATTGCAATAATTTTCCCATTTGGCATATGCTCCCTCTTTTGACTCTTTGTTCTCAAATCCATTGTCCCAAATTCTATCTGTTCTGAATAGATATTTGTTTTCTACTGTTGCAGATACATAATTAGTAAAAGCAGATGCAATTCTCAACATTAAGAATTACATTCGGTGAGCTTTCCAACATTATTAAAGAAAGTCTGTACTAGAAGACTCAGAGACTCAAAACAGATTACTTTTCTACCACAGAAACCTCTCCAACAGTGTGAATACACTTCAGTTCAATGGCATATTTTCCTGAATGTCTGTTTTTGATTGAGAAAATTTACTTAAAAGTAATTTTCCAAGAAATTAGAAGACACATTCTACATATGCATACGTTCACTTGTTAAAAATCTATTCAAAATGTTTTATGAAGAGTTATATTTTATGTAAAAACAGCGGTGAAGAAACAATTTTCCTAATTTAAGATACATAATCTGGTTAACAAAATATAGTCAAGGCAAAATAAATCTGAATAAGTAAATAGGAATATTTTACATACATTATATTTAGTTTAAACTGATTTCTTTGTGCAAAATCTTCCTCCATTGAATCTTCTATAAGTTTTTCAACTAGCTTAAAATGTTTTTAATAAGTAAGGGTAAACTAAAAGTCTGCTTTAGAACAATGATTTAAAATATCAACTGACTCACAAAATGCTCACCCAGCTTATCTCCATAGTTATGTCATATTGACAGTCTAGAATATATTCAGTAAGGACAAGTATAAAGAATGGTAACATTTTCTTTTAGAGATGATAAAATATTACACAGAGAACAGGAATTCACACATATTCCAAAGAGAAAAATTAAGTTTAGTATTTTTCTGACCATAAACTAAATATTAAATAAGCAGACTTTCAGGACTCACTTTTGTTTACATAATACTTATTAAAAATAAAAGGACATCATTAAATAAAAATATCAGTAAACACCTGCTTTGGCTAAACTTATAAACTCATATATGACTTTTACTGAAGGAAATTACTATCTCTGTCGCCCACAATCCCATCTTTTCCTCACGTAAGAAAATTCAAATTGTCTAACTTAACATGTATTCTACAATGAATCTTTTCACATAAAATTACAACACAGCTAGAGAAGCAAGAGAGGAGAAGTAGTGAAGTATGTCTGAAAATTATTCTTTCACTGCTGTGCTACATGTCTCTGGTGGTGGCCAGGCAGGGAATCATGGATCAGGTAACGCAGTTTGTGGAGCCAAGTCAGCAGTTTGTAAAGAACTCGATTCGACTGGTTAAAAGATGCACCAAACCTAATAGAAAAGAATTCTAGAAGATTGCCATGGCAACAGCAATAGGATTTGCTATAATGGGATTCATTGGCTTCTTTGTGAAGCTGATCCATATCCCTATTAATAACATAATTGTTGATAGTTGAATAAGTTTTGGAAGAGTATTTGCATCTTAGGATCAGTGAGAAGCTCAAGGAGTAATGTTGGCCTATGTCTGTTTTTCTTCCAAGGTGTTTTCTATTTCTAAATTAAAATAATTCAAAGTAAAAAAAAAAAGAAAATTATTCTTTCTTACCAATATGTTGCCGTAGAATCCAAGAGGAGTTTGAGGCACGAGCAGAGAGCATCTTTTCAACAGTTGGCGGAAGTCTCTTCCAATTCATAAACTCCAAAGTGAAGATAAGAGTGTCAATGCTGACTGAGTTAATCCTATGTAAGTAAGATGTTAACATGCCATTAGACACAAAATAGGTCAAATACCACATACCTATTCTTACAACATCTCAATGAGGAAGGCAGAGAAAAAACCAGAGCACAGGAAGTATTTATGTAAGTTTGGTAGATATGAATGATCATCTATAAGTTCCTAGTGACTACACTGACTCTGTATACAGCTGCCCAAGAGATGACAGCTTCCCAGTGGACCATCTTGTCAAATTGGTCATCCTTACAGACTTAATTTTATCCTAAAAGGATAAAGCCCAAACACCCCAAGTTAAAACTGAATGTACATGAGAGATAGCTTGTTTCTGCCCATCACACCCAGGGATGTACAACTGTTCTCCTCTAATAACTTTCCCCATTATAATTTCAGCCCTAAAAGATGTACCAGAATAAGATTCATTTTTAAGGACTGAAAGAAGGGGTTCTAGACAGAGTTATATCTCTGTTCTTTCAATATAGTGTCAGATTCCCTACCAACTCACCTAAAAGAGGCTAACCCAAATTGTATAAGCACTTGAAACCTAATGGAAAGAGCACTGGTTTAAGAAAAGTCTTGATTTCTAATATTACCTCTACTACTTACAAACATGTTGCCTGAATTATTTATGCTCTAGTTCCTGCTCTCTAAAATGAGAACAGTACACAACCTACCTATTTCAGGATACTGTGTATGAAAATAAGATGAGGTAATATAGTAAACATACTTTTAAAACTATAAAATGTAGTATGAAGAACTGATATTATTAGTACTGATTTGAAAACTTCAGTATTACATTTTCAGAAGGTCTCAAAACATTATATGCATAAAATTCAGTATTAAAATTTAGCTCAGGCCAGACATGGCGGCTCACGCCTGTAATCCCAGCACGCTGGGAGTCTTGAGCCTAGGAGTTTGAGACCAGCCTAGGCAACATAGCAACATCTTGTTTCTACGAAAAATCAGAAAATTAGTCAGCCATGCTGATGCATGCCTGTAGTCTTAGCTACTCAGAAGCTGAGGCAGAAGGATCACTTGCACCCAAAAGGTTGAGGCTATGGTAAGCCATGATTATGCCACTGCACTTCAGCCTGTGTGACACAGTGACACCTCAACTTAAAAAAAAAAATAGCTTAAAGAGAACTCTAAATCCTAACAAGATTACCCATCCCATACTCAGTTAGATACCTCACATCATCACAATGTTTAAAGAAAAATAAAATTATTAGGGCCTCTGGTAATTACTATAAAAACAGAAACTCTTCTTTAAGTCATCTTTTTGGAGCTATTACTGAGCAAAAACTAAAGAAGGAAAAGAAATAGAAGAAAAGAAAATAAACTGAATAATTATCTAAACTTGTCATTTCAAAGATAACTTATTCCCGGTTATTCAAAGTATCCTTGAAATGACTGATTAGAGGTTACGAAAAAGATTAAGAAAATTATTTCCCAAATTCTTAATTCTCCAGTATGCAAACAAGTAAGGAAGAACTTAAATTGTAGCAGTAATGTCTTGGGAAAATACTTTACTTCTCAGTAGCTATCAGTGAAATCACAACTTATCAGAAAATATTGAGAATAAATGAAATGATAAAACATATTCGAAGACCAACAATTTATTTGGTTTTCTAGGAGTCCCAAATCAAAGGTACCTTGATTCTAGTTCCTTATTTCTTTTTCAATGGTTTCTTTCTTCTGCCTTAATGGACTTTAGGTCTTATTGTGACCAATCACAAAGCCATTTTTATGTACTTATCTGAACATACACATGAGAAGTAAATCTGTTTGCACAGCTTTAGTTAATATAACAGTGAGTTTAGTTACCAACACTGATAATGCCACTAAAAATGTATTGTTACTATACTACATTGACCATTACATTGTACAGAGCAGTTGTATAATCATAAACAAGTGACATTTAATCAACTAAATGCACAGATGACATTTATTCTCCCATTACATTGGGAGGTGGGGGGGGCAGAAGACTTAAGTCTTGCATTTAAAGTTGAAGAAATATTTCAGCTTTTGTAGATGATATTGTGACAGGCAATTATTCAGTCTGATACATTTTTAAGACTGTTTAAGACAAGCAATACCTAGAAAAGACATTTATAATTTACATGACAAAGATTAAGCAACAGACTTACATGTGATAGAAATAACAAACAGCCAAAATCTACTTTAGCAACATACTGGAATTTTTATAGGGGAATTTTTCTTATAACAGCTCTCTGAATGTAAATTTGATAAAAAAAAAACCAAAACATTTATCACATTCAGTGTAAACACTGGCCTTACCCATTCAATAAAGGATCAGTGAACAAAAATTTGACCATGTGAAGCACTTTCATTGCTAAAGTGAAATTTTCCATTGTATTTTTTTTAATGAATAAAGTGACTAAAATTACTCCTTAGGACTAAAATATATGCAATTGGCATACTCAATTCAGTAAGCTGAAAGTTTTACAACTTACTTCAAAGTAACTTGAAGTTTACTAGTTGTTAACATTTTTCTATTCCAACATAGCCAATAAATAACAGCACACATTCGGTAGCTTGTTGCCACAAAAACTCTCAACGATTCACACCTGGGGGAATGGGAAAGCAGTACTAGAACTGGAGAAAAGAGGGTATATTAAAAGACTTCTAAGAGAATAAAGCTAAGTAAAGTCCTCTCCCTAACAGAAGTCTGTTTCATTAGTTTGGAAGGAAAGAAAAAGAGGCAATATTTAATTTTTTTCTCTGCTTCCCTCATCCTCCAATTTAACAGCAGGAAAAAGAAAAGTTGGCACAAATCTCTCAGGTTAGGCAAGAGATTAAGGTGCCTGAAATTAAGTGATTCAACTATAGTCAGCCCTCCACATCTGAAGATAAAAACAACACTGGATCAAAAATAAAAATGCAAAAATAAAAAATACAAGTTAAAAAAAAATAGTATAAAAACTATTTACATTGCATTAGGTATTATAAGTAATCTAGAGATGATTTAAAGCATATGGAAGGATGTACATAGGTTAAATGCAAAAACTTAGCCATTTTATATAAGGGACTTGAGCATCTGTGGATTTTGGTATCTGAGGGGTGAGACTCAAACCATGATTCACTTCAAATTCTTTTCAGCTGTGAGCCTGTGAAATCAAACAAATTATTTACTTTCAAAATTCAATGGCAGGACAGGCATAAAACAGACATTCCACTTCCAAAAAGAATATGTAAGAGGCAGGGAGCAAAAGACTCCAAGTCAGTCTAAAAACCAACAGGAGGCTGGGCACGGTGGCTCAAACCCGCAATACCAGCAGTTTGGGAGGCCAAGGCTAGAGGATTGCCTGAGTCCATTGGTTTGCGACCAGCCTGGGTAATGTGGTGAGACCTCGCCTCTACAACAAATCAAAAAATTAGCCAGGCATGGTAGTGTGGCCTGTAGTTCTGGCTACTTGGAAGGCTGAGGCAGAAGAATCACCAGAGCCCAGCAGGTCGAGGCTGCGGTGGCTGGGAGTGTGCCACTGCATTCCAGCCTGGGTAACTAAGTGAGACTGCAACTCAGGTTAAAACAACAACAACAACACAACAACAAAACCCAACAGAGGAAACAACATTACATACTGAGACGCCAGAATAATCTTCCTTGACTCCATGTCCGGCTTCCTAGAAAGAATGGTGTGGGAGTTGGGACTGCACTGCCTCAGGCAGCCTGTCTTCTACCCCTATGTGGGGCTCAGTCCAAGCTTCAGCTCTCCCAAGCTAGCGTTGCATCCTAGAAGCTCTACAGTACTGGGGTCTCAATGGCAGTCCCATTTCCATGGCTCCACTGGGCACTGCCCTGGTGAGGGCTCTGTGGCAGGACCAATCTCACCCTTCTACTTGGCATTGCTCTAGAAGGCCTCTCTGCCGTGGCTTGGTCCCACAAGTCTTTACCTGAGCCCTGCAGACTGTTTTCAACATCCTTTGAAAGCTAGGTGGAAGAAGTCATGCCCCTACAGCTCTCGTGTTCTACACACCTGCAGAATTAACACCAATGGACATTGCCAAGGCTTATTTGTGCTCTCTGGAGAAGCTGCATCTGGGACCAGTTGTGCCACAGTGTGGTGCCACCAAGTTTATGGCTTATGCCTTTTGGAGCAATGGATCAAACCAGACCTGGAGCTGCTTCAGTTGCAGCTGGAGGCACTGAGGAGCAACCCACTGATACAAGGAGTAGAGACCCGAAGTAGGCCTAGGTAGGGAGCCTCCAAAGGGGGCCCTGGGCCTATCCCACCAAAGCATTCTGTACTCCCAGAGCTCTGGGCCTGTGATGGGAAGAGCAACCTAGAATACCTCTGAAATGCCTTCAAGGTTTTTCTCCCATTGTCTTGATGATCCTATTAGTACTAATCTGCTTAGCAAATGGCTGCTAGGCCACAACCTTAGTTTCTTCTCCTGAAAATCCTTTCATTGTCTACTAACAGCAAGGTTGAGATTTTTCCAATTTTTCCACTCTGCATCCCTTCTGATGATAAATTCTGTCTTAAGTCATTCCTTTGCTCCCACATCTCACTGTAAGTGGCTAAAAGCAGCCATGCAGCAGCCTGGATGCTTTACTACTTAGATATTTCTTCTGTCAGATTTTCTAGTTCATAACATTTAAGTTCAGCCCTCCATAAAGCCCTCAGGCACAGACATAATTCAGCTAAGTTCTCTGCCAGTTTATAATTATAACAAGGATAGTCTTTAGCTGAGGGAAACTGCCAGGGAAGGGAGGGGCACACCTCATCAACAAGCATACCTGCATAATGAACATTTGTATAGCTAATCCTGAATTGTACCCCAAATTTTAAAAATAAAATTTAAAAAAAGAATTCCACTGAAAGCAATAAAAAAAAAAAAAGATAGCCTTAACTCCAGTTTCCAGTAAGAAGCATTCATTTTCACCTGAGACCTTGTCGGAATGGCCTTTACTGTTCATCTATTAACATTCTGGTCACGACTACTTAAGCAATCACTAAGGAGGTTCAGACTTCTTATTTTATGAGCTCTCACCAAAATCACCCTTAATACTCCATCCACAAAAATACAGGCTTTTTCTAGACTGCGTCTCCATACTTTTGTATCCTCTACCCTTTACACAGTCTGAAAACCACTTCCATAATTACAGGTAATCATGATTAGCAACAACCCACTTCTCAGTACCAACTTTTTGTTGGTCCATTCTCTGTTGCTAAAACTGAATACTGAGATGAAGTAATTTAATAAAGAAAAAAATAAATCTCTTACAGTTCTCAAGACTGGGAAATCCAAGGATAAGGGGTCCATCTGCTGAGGGCCTTCTTGTATGTCATAACATGGTGAAATCACATGGTGACAGTCTAACTCAGGTCTCTCTTCTTATAAAGTCACCGGTCCCATCGTTGGGGCCCCATCCTGAACTCTTATTCAACACTAATTACCTCCAAAGACTCCACCTCCAAACACCATCAACATGTTTCCACCACATGAAATCTGGGGACACATTCAAACCACAGCAGTAGTTTCCTAAGTTTTGGTTAAAGAAATTAGAAACCAGAACGGAGTGTGAAGGCTGAAAGTACTGGGCAAGTCATAAGGAGTCAGAGATAACAGCTTCCATAGAGGAACAGGTGTGCAGCTAAGAAGAGTGTGAGTGCCTTGGGGACTGGCACCACGTGGGGTGAGAAATGAAGCCCCTAAATAAAGATGTCCAGATGTTTTATTGAAATTCTATAAAATAACATGCCCCCTATTTTCCTGGAGACTTCCTTTTTGTATTCTCATTTACCTTGAATTACTAAGCCAAAAGAGTCCTCTCACTACTACTACAATTACCTGTATCGGAACATTAATTATTTTTGCAAAGGCTGAAGGCTGGTAGAAACAGTCTTCCTCTTCTTGCCCAAGAAAAGTCCTGACTCAACCAACATTTATATAATTTCTTGCAGAGGGTTACCCTTCTGAGAAACTACCTGAAATAAACAAGCTACATTCTCAGATACTTCAGAAATCAGTATTAAGAAAGACAAATTTCAACTAGGATGCTGTGAGGCAGGAGTACTCAGTCTGGTTGGCTGAGGGATAGATAACAGAAATCTTCAAAGCAACTACAACCATTCTTTCTTCTGTCGCAGGCATTTTAAGAGGAACATGAAAGGTGGCCAGATATAGAAGAAATATCCCTTTCAGAAGAGTTGACTGGCATCTATCCCCTCCTGCCTCCTTCTGGTCACTTCTTACCATTTTTCTAGGACTGTGCTTAAACTCAACCTTGCTATTGGCAGCCCCCATCTCCTTCACCCCAACAGTCGTCACAGTCAAAACACACTCTCTCTCCTCCAACACTGGGAATCTCAAGAAATGGGGAAAAATTAAAGGTACAGTCACTGAAAAAGCGTAAGCCCCACTATTATATGATTTCTTACCAAGAACTGCAGAGTAGAGCCAATGGGTCAAATCCAGCAAGCAGGAGATGTGGCAACCATTCCTTATATTTTGTTTGTGCTTTAATTGCGTGATTTATAAATTCAGATATATGGTTCCATGATGCCAATGGACAACCTTTCTTCAAAAAGTAGCGAAATACTGAAAACTTCTCATACTTCAGGCAGTATGCCAGATGAAGTTCATTTAGTTGTGCCCCATATTTTAAAAGAATATTCACAATTCCAAAGAACTCACAGCTTCACCACACATACAAAAAAAAAAAAAAGAAGTTAGACTTTTACATAAAATGTTTATTACAAATTGCTAATAGTAGTTACAGCTGGGGAATAAGAAGGGCAGATGGGATAGTGAATGATTTTTACATATCTAGTGGACTGAAATTAAGAGACAGGGAAAGGAAACTTTTACTTTTTACACCCTTCTATGTGGTTTTAAATTTTCAGTTGTGAACCTTACAATTTAAAACATTCATTTAAATAAATATGTAATTTTTAAAATTACCATCGACAAATAGAAAACTATTCTAAAATTGTGATATTTTTGTACAATTTAGTATTTCTACTACAAAATATTTGCTTAACAAAGTTTATAAACAATGTGATGTGTTCCTAAAGATTAATGACTCATTCTAGAAATCTCTAAGATATAATTTCCTTTAGCAATAGCCCTAGCCGATTTCCTTATTATTATTAAATTTCTAATAGTATGGGGGAAAAAAAATCATACAAAAAAAATTTTTTTTTTTTTTTTTTGAGATGAGGTCTTGCTATTTGCCCAGGCTGGTCTTGAACTCCCGGGCTCAAGCAATCCTCTAGCCTCGGTCTCCCAAAGTGTTGGGACTACAGGCATGAGCCACCAAGCCTGGTCAAAAACTTTTTTTAATGAACAAACATTAAGTTTACAGCTCTACATTTTAAAATTAATTTTTTTATCAAATAATTTTATTGAATAAAAATATATCATTTAATACTTACTAAACTGTTACTTTAAAAAAAATTTTATTTTCCAATATGGTAAGTTGGGGTAAAGCTGATTGAAAATAGATTATCTCTACCCCTCCCCCACCTTGGGGAAGTGAATCTTCTCTTTCTCTTGCTCTCTCATTTACTTTTAAATAAACTATATTTTCTATTTTTTTTTAAGAAGATAGGTTATCTCTTATCTGAGAGGGTTAACTGGCAAGATGTATCAAAAGACTGCAAAGTTACAAAGTTATAAAGAGCACTTTGGAGCCAGTCTGCTCAGGCACTTTCTAGCTATATAACCTGGAGCAAGTAAACTTTCTGGCACACAGAACTAGCACCATATACATATTTGTAAAATAAAATAAAATGTAGACTTCCATGTAAATCAAATAAAACAAAATAAATATGTATGCTTATTTACACAAAAGCACATTTATGTGGATTTAAACATATTAACACAAATATAAATAAAAATTAAAATATTCAAACTCCTTTGATTCAGTAATACAATTTGGGGAATTTATCCAAAGGTAAAATTCAAAAGACATTATATCCTAATTTGTACATGTATCATAACCACAGCATTATGTATAACAGTCTTTAAAAAGAAATGTTATATGACCTAAATGTTCAATAACAGAAGACTAGGTAAGTACAAAATACTATTTAGTCATTAAAAAGTGCAATTATTATGATTATGCAACCACATTTTAAACTTTTTAACATGTTTAACATGTTTACTGTAAGAAAGTCCAGTAAACATGTATGTTCACTGTGTAAACAACTGTGAAAGACATGCAAGAATAGACTCACTCTCCCTTTGAAATTGGTATTAATGCCATCTTAAAAAACTATGAATAAAAAAGACATTTCATTAATCATAGTATTATGGAATCTAAAAAAGAGGCACAAAAATTTTAGATAGAGCAAATATAAAGTGCTTAAGCCAGTTATAAGACCAACTACTTCTGAAGACATATGTGTAAAACTTGAAATCAGGGTTTGAAGCAGTTAAGACATTATATATATGTATTTACATATATGTACTTACATATACATGTGAAATGTTAAAGCAGTTATACATGCAAATACTTATATATGTAAAGATATATATATATGCAAAATGTTAAAGCAGTTAAAATACACACAAGAGTGACCCCCAAAAACCGAAATTATCTTTTGGAGGGCAGGTCCCTTGTAGTACAGGCTTCCCCAACTAGGTAAGTGTTATAGGAACCCATCGGCATCAGTGTACCGGCCAGCATTTGGCTGCGATCGATTGGCTTCAGTGAATTTTTCTTCTGGAGATTCTTTAATACGTTTGCCCATTTCATGATGGGTGATTTACCTGCACAGCTGCCCACACCAAGCTGGGTGTTCAGCAGTTTTTGACCAAAAACAGCAGGATGCCTGTGCCCCACCCTCCCTATTCACCTGATCTCACCCCAAGCAACATTTTTTTTGTGTGTGTGTCCCTTGATAAAAGAAGTCCTCAAAGGAAGACATTTTGTTGATGTGGAAGAGGTGAAACAAACAAAAAAAAACAACAGCAGAAGCACTAAAAGGCATCAAAATTGATAAGTTCAAAATCTGCTTTGCACAGTATCTCGAGAGGTGTACTGCCATCAAATGGAGAGTACTGTGAAGGTGACTGAAATTTAAACATGTAAGAATAAATGCATAATTTTTTATAAATAAATTCTATTTTAGGGGGTTCCCCCCTTGTATATATGTAAATATTAAAACAATTAAGACACTACATATATATATACACATATATGTAAAATGTCATCGAACCCATGTATATCTTTATGACTCTATTTCATTTACTCTCTAATTTGTGCTTTTGTTAGGTAAAAGATTACATAGCAGTCACTTTGCTTAGTCATTTGCACAACTAGAAAGTAAAAATCTATAATTCCATAATTTCTTTGCAAAAATTAATAACTGTGTTGCCTGTCTATCTTGCTATTTGTTCCTGATGAGAAGTCTGTCATCATTCATACAACTGCTTTTGAAAACAACCCTAGATGTACACATTTTTTCCTGTGGCTGCCTTCAGATACACTAAAGCGGAGATAATTTGTTGCCAGCAGTTTTGCACTACAAGAAATGTTAAAGGATATCTTTCTGACTGATGGCTCTAAACAGTTATCACCAATTTATTTCAACCACTTTGACCTTATTTAACTAGGCTCTCATTATTTTGCCTGCAGTTATTACTCGCTGAGTCCGCTATTGAACAGACAAGCTACACATGAACTGTTGAACATGCTCCAATAAGTAGCTTGGGAAACTGTGGGAAAAAAGCTCAAGACATTGCCTCATTACAAATGTGATAAATGATTCTCAAGAAATCTGGCAATTTTCCAGGCATGTGTATTTACATGCTCAACTCAGGGACTAGCTGAATTCTTCCCTCAAGTCATTTGAAACCATCAATAGCCTAACCATAGACACTTCAGCTCTTCAAAATTCAGTCCCAAACAGAATACAAGGACATGCTACTGGTATCCCCTAAATGCACCCTATTAGATTAAATGCTACAGAGGGTTCCCTACCCATTTTCTGTTTAGAATAAAACTACAAAACCAAGAGGCTTTCTTATTAAAATTTCAATATGACACCAAGACATTTGCCTCATGACAAGAAAGTTTTAAGGGCAAAGACAAAGTATCTATATCTAAAGGGTGAGAGGTACATGTGCACATATAATTCCCTATACTAACAAATTTTACTATTTATTTTGTACCAGATACTATTTAAATGTGTTAAATTCATTATTTGCCTTAATCCTCACAATAACCCTAAGAAGTAAGTTCTATTATTATCTCCAGTCAAGATGCAAAAACCAAAGCTTAATCACAGAGTAATAATTAACAGAACTGGGACAATAATATCAAACCAAAACCTAACTATGAATATGACACAGTAAATTTTTGAAGTATCTCCCCTATTATGAAAATGGAACACCTTATCAAATGGTCAAATTAAAGAATACTTTAAGGCTAGACCTACATTTCTCAAAGGGGTCGCACAGAAGTACCTTTAAAATTAAAGCAATGGGTCCAATCACTAATCTGAAAAAAAGCAGAATAAACAACAGTATAAAATGCCCAAACAGTCTGTAAGCACAGGAATGATGATATATTTATCATAAGCATAAATTCAACCTACATTTCTAAACTAGTCAAACTTTCGTAAATCCATTCCCCTCTTAGGAATCCACAAAACACACTGCCAAAAGAAAATTCTCAGAAGGCCTCCAGGAAAGAAAATTATTTAGCATTGTTTAATCCTGTTCTTCCCAAACTGATTTAACCACACAACCTCTTTTATCAAGAGTTAGTATTAACAATCTATAGAATTGTTATTCTACAAAACATGTTTTGGAAAATCAGTTTTAAATTTTCTTCTAATTACTCACATTGTCTTGTGTTAGAAGGGGCAAGAGCACACTTCCAAAAGGCATTTGAAACTGCAGAGTCCTACAATACACTTTTCTAAAAAAAAAAAAAATCCTACCATTTATTTGAAGAACAGTAACCACAAAATAAACTGGAGAATCACAGAACTTTGTCTGCATACCCTGAGCTTCTGGGAAAATTACTAAGAAGATCTCAAATGCTCCAGAAATGCAAGCAATCATGACCTTGATTATGACATCTTACAAAGCACAAAGTAAATCCTTGGGCTTGAATAACCTTTGGTTATAATAGAAATTACATGGACATATGCATGTATTTCTCTTAACATTTCAACAAATTCTCTTTCAAGCCCTGATAATCAAATTGGAAAGACTCTCCAAAACCCAGAAATTAAAAAGAAAAAGTCTATCCTATTTAACATAAATATGTAGAATTATGCTGGGTGTGGTGGTTTACACCTGTAACCCCAGCACTTTGGGAAGGTGAAGTGGGAAGATCATTTGAGTCCAGGAGTTTAAGACCAGCCTGGGCAACAAAGCAAGACCTTGTCTCTACAAAAATTTAACATAATAATAATTTTGTAAAAATCAAAAATTAATCCTGACACATAAGGAGACTGCATGTTATATAAACAGTGATTATCAGATACTGAGAAAGAGGAGGATTTAAAAACTAAAATGCAATGCCTAGATCTTATTCTTTGGGCTTATAAATTTTCCACCACTCTGCTGTTTGAAGTTGAAAACAGTGTAGAAAAACAGTGCCCACATAAAAGAAGCACAACAAGACAAAATCCAACATAAAAATAAGGTTTATTTTAGACAAATAGAAATGGGCAAACAT